AATATGAAATTACTAAACTGTTATACGCGATGAATTGATACTTATATACGTATACATATGTGTGTGAATACGTAGTTGTACCTACCTATAAGGAAAAAAACTAAGAAACATTTAAATTTAAACACCAAAATTTTATAATTGGGACCGTCTACCGAAATTAATATGTATGTGTATTATGTAACTATTTAGTTCAACTTATTAGATATTGTAATACACCTAAACTTTTATATATCCCTAAACCAAATGGAAACAATATAACATTTTGTTTTGAATTTATTCTCTAAATATCTAAGGAATTTGAATAATCTTCTTATACTTACGAGTACTTACATTAAATATTTTAAATCTGTTCTTGTATTATGAGACCTTTTAAATTATTGTTCCAAAATAATGACGTTGCGTTTTGTTGTATAGAGTTCCAATTTTCTTTAGTGTAAAATTATAAATTTTGGTGTAAAATTACTTTGCCCCTAAGAAATTTTATATTTCATATCAAAAGAAGTATTTTAAGTTTAAAAATTTAATGCCGCATATTTGTTATTATTATATGTATATGTATGAGTATATGCATATGTCATTGATTAAACTTTTATATTGCTTATTTGCATAAAAATGTTGGTTCTTTTTTAATTTAGTAATTAATTTATTTTTAAAGACTGCACTATTTAAATGTAATTTTTGTTATACAATGTTCTTAGAATTACAATTTTGGTAACATCGAAAAGCTACATATACATATGCACATATTATTATTATTATTCCAAATAGTGAACTGTGATGAACTTCGATTCGATATGTTTTTTTAGTAACTTTTTGTACAAGTACGTATTTCATTCTCTTTTTTTTTATTTTGCTAGACTAATTATTATTCTGTACGTATCAGCAAATTTAATTATTTTACTCTATTCAAGATATTATTCAAAATTAAATTGTCTTTATCTTGCACATTATTTTAAAATTAGTATTTTATTCTGTTTACTTGAAGTTATGGAAAATATTTAATTCGATTTAAAAAAAAATTGTGATTCAAAATTGCCAGGATTATTTGAAGTTTACCTTACTGAAACTTATCAAATACTCTTAGATCTAAGTACTTCTAGTTTAGGTAAAATTAATAACATTAGGGGGAAAAGTAAATGTTTTCTATTTTTCCAAAAATCCTATAAATACATGCATACATATACTTATATACGTTCATACGCATTGTTAAAAAAATTCTCTATTTAAACTACTTAATACATTCATAACTGTTATACGTTTATTATGTCAAATAATATACATATGTATATTTGTAAGTAGATCATATTACGTAATTAAATATTATAAAAATTTATAATTTTGATAACTTTTATATTGTTCCGATGACCTACATACTTTTAAATATAATTAGTATTTATGTGTACATAAGTATACACTCTTATTATCTTGGGATATAAAACCAAGTGAACTATCATATCACTATTTCTTATAAAAAAAATATAATTCATTTTAATTTAATTATAATACTTGTGTACTTGTATAAAGTATTAACCTACTTCAAATTAAAAATTTTAAATTATTTAATATTTTATAAAATAAATAAATAATAATATTATATTTGTTTATAAAGGTTACGCTACGACCTTTGTAGTTATAATTATACAAACATTTTTACTACAATAATTAATTAAATTGATTGATCTGTTTTTAAGTGTTGCTCAAATATAAATTCACAGATTAAATGAAAAACAAAAAACCCAAAAAAATTTTATTGAATTTGTAGGATTTTTTATACAAACAAGTGTTATACTTATACATAATGTATAAATAATATGAAAACAATAGTAGCCACTAAAAATTCCCACTTAAATACCTAATCAACAAAACTTAGAAAATTATAATAAAGTGAAATTATTCTATTAATAACTGTTATACACATTAATATTTTGCACAATATATGTGTATATAATAGAATAAATCCGCTTTTTAATGGACAATTGTTTATTAGGGGCATATTACCCCTGTGGATTTAATAATAATAAAAATATATAAAAACACTTATCTAATAAATCTTTATGTCAAAAAGGTAGACTGGATTTTACTAAATTCAATTTTGATAAGAATTTTTATCTTAAAAATGTTGATAACCTTTAAAAATTAATATTTGAATTATAATAATTATGAGATATCATGATTAGAGTGTAAAATGTTTTTGCCAATAGCATTTAATTATTAAAAATATTATATAGCACATACTTATCTGCATCTATATAATATATGCGTCTTCTAAATTCAGTATACATATTTAATTTTTTGATATTGAGTTTACTAAAATTGTTACTAGAAAATTGAACTAAGAATTTTTATTCCCTTGCCGGTAATGTAAAATTAGGTAATTTTTTAAGATCTTGACTTCAAATATATGTATGTATGTAGTTTGAAAAAAAATTAAAATGCGTTTGCATTCCGATGTCAATTGATTTATTCGATAAAACATTAAGGAATATTACAGGTTGAAAAATTGTATTAACCGTTGCATGTTGGCATTCGTTTAACAAACATTTTTTTTTCTCTAGTATGTTAGAAATGTAACAAACAGTTTGTTTCGTTTATAAAGTTTCTATAATTTGTATATATGCAATTGAAATCAAAGTAGAAGCATAGAGAAAAGAAAGTAAAGATTTTAGAATTCAACTGAGCAAAAGCAAAAATAAAAGCATAAATAAAAGCAAAAGCAAAGCAAAACGAAAGTAAAGGAAAAAGCCTTAACAAAACAAACAATATTATAATTAAAACCTACATACACACTTATAGTTAAGTTGTGACACATACATAATATTTATACCAAATTAAATCCCATGAAATGTGAAAAATTTCCACTGTTTAAACCCAATTTAATATTCATTTCTTCTTATTTTTCTTTATGACTTTTTTTTTTCTTGTTTTAAATTTAAAAGCATATTATATAAACTGGTTTTAATTAATTCTTAAAGAGCATTCAGTGATTTAAAATGATTTATTTGTTTTGGTTTTAGGTAAAAAAAAATACAATGTAATGGAAAAAATATCGGAAATTTTTAAAGTAGGTATTAAAGGTTCTAATTTGCTGTGAGTTGAAATCTCGTAAAAATATTTAAAACTTTATATACATATGTAGGTACTACAATCTGGTACAATGTTCAAGTTAGAAAGTTGAATGTTTTTACAAAAATATTTTGGGGTAAACTGTAGTTTGTTAATTCTGTAAACGTAGTTTCATAAAAAGCTCTAAGCAAATGCCAACTATTAGTGCAATTTTTCTTGTGTACCGGACATTGGGTAGTTTTAAATTTTCAATAGATTTTAATGGACCAAAATTTTATTTTACTAGGAAAAATTATTTTTGTTCCTTAATACGAGTAGATAATATTCCCCAGTAACCTTCAAAATTATCAAAATTTAAATTTTCGAGCCCGTACTATTTATGTGTAACTTCAACTTTGTGTAAGCTCAAATGGACTTGTATAAATGCACGAATATAGCAGTAATGGTTTTTTTACATAAAAGTACGTAGATATATTATTTTGTCCTAAATAATTTAAATCTTATAACATACTTATAATTCAATATTTATGCTAATTTGTATTATTTTTAAAATTTTCTTATAAATTTGAGTTGTAAGTAATATTCACATACAATTGTTAAGCAATACAAAAAATATAAGCTAAAAACTCAATAATTTTTCGAAAATATGCCATTTTACAAGTCATTGTTTTAATTCACTAAATTTTATATTTTAAAGGTTTAATAAAAGTGTTTAAATTAAAACTTTACAACCTCGATTTTTTTTAATAGATGTATTTATACAAATATGATAATAAGAGTGCAATGTGCTATTACTCGTAATTAATTCGTGATATACTTGCAATAAAAAATGCCATATAATTAAAAGAAAGTGTTCTACTTCTTACCTACATACAAATTCGTGTTATTTAAATTCAAGTTATTTTATATTTTGATAAAACTTGCATATTATAGAAAAAATTAATTTTTATGAACGCACATAAATGCACATATTATACATACACGTAATATGTTCACCCTATTCAGCTATGATCTAGTCTAGATCAAATAAACATATATGTAAGTACTTATAAATTGACAATGCTACAATAAAAGACAATAGGCATTATCGCGCTCATTTAATTTTGTAATTATAGCTTTTGAAAATAAGTGGTATACTTAACATTCAAATATGAGTTAAATTTACCATATTATTATATGGAGTACCAACTAGAAGTAGTAGATTTACTAATTCTGTTATTCATATATCTCATTATTAAAATTTTTTTAAAAACTGAATAAAAAAGAATTAGAAAAATAAACAAATATTTTTATAAACAAAAGATAAAACCAATAAAACTAAAGTATCATCACATCATAGATATTTTGCACTGTCATTTCAAATCTTTGCGTTGAAATTACGAAAATTTGCATTTAAACATTGAGATTTATTGTATGAGAATAATATATACGAAAAGTTTTAATTATTATACTTAAGTAATTTTATTTGTATATTTTTATAAGTACAAAATTTTTTGTTTCTGGTCAAAGAAAATTTGCTTATATTATTGGGGTTAATATTATTTACTTACATTTTAACATATTTTGGAGGTGTTTTATATACATATTTTCCATACGCATATTTATTAATGGCATACGCACAAATTTCAAAATTTGAAATATGTTTCCAATTATTAATCTTAAAATACTTAAACTTTAGTACAAAAGTTTTAATTGCGAGATGAATTTTCCTCATATCATTCCTTATAATATTCCTAATATTCCCAAAAAGATTTTCATTGGTAAATTTGCCCCTTTTAACATTAAACGTTTGAAATTCGAAAGTTTAGTATTTAAAAAATTAGTAATTAATTTTGGTACTAAAATATAAAATTATTTATTAAAGAAATTTTTAAATACTTACCATAATAAAAAATTGTTCATTCCATTTTATATTCAATGCTAAAAACTTATTTCAGGCTTAATTATTTTACCCTATTATCAAGTCAAAATTGTTCCTGTGAAGATGCAAGTCTTATATATGATTTATAATATTCAGAAACGGGTACAATTTTCAATATTTAATACCTATAATAAAATAATTAAAAAAAAAAAAGAAATGAGTTTCTCTAATATTTTTATTGTTAATTTTGTTTTAATTTTTTTTGTTTGATTTTCTGTGACGTCATTTAAAAAAAAAATATTGTGTTGTTTTCGCCTTTCTCAATTTAAATTTAAATGACATGAGAATTAAGATTTAATTGTTTTTAATTTTGTTGTCTAATGGGTTTTTGTTTTATTGCATAGATTTTAACAATTAATTAACTTGTGGTTGAGTGTTAAAATACACAATACTTATAAACAGTTGATTACAATAATAATGTCAAAGGTTTTGAATTAAATTTTATACCTTAAGATAATTTTTTTGAATTAGTTTGAAGTTTAACATTGAATAATCATTATTTTCTGTTTTTGTTATATAAGTACATTATAATTTATCAGTAAGTACATTAATTGTTTTAAGTTAATTAAATAATAATTATTTATTTGTTTTTGTTTTTTATTCTCAATATTTTATTTAAAAATAAAAAAAAAATTTTTTTTTTGCATTGAAATTCAATTTTAAAGTTTGGTTTTCAGTTTTTAATAACAATTATTTATGAAGTTTACTTTAATATTAAGTATATAAAATTTTATAATCTAAAATTATATTTTAATTTAATTATATAACATATTTATAAATCAAGTATCATTTAAATCGATAAAATAATTTAAGAATTACATTAAATTTGTCGATTTAATAACGTATAATACCGACTAAAATAATCTAAAAGAATTACCTTACAATAAACTTAATTTGATTACTTTGATTACTTTTACTTTTATAATTGCAATTCAGTATTAATCGCAAGCTACATAGAGTGCTACTAAGTAATATGAGTTAATAATAATATTAAAATTATACTGATCTAGCATTTCCATTATAGTTTTGTATAACGGTATAAATTGAAATGTTTTTACCAGCAAAATTAGCATTTATAGTCAATAAATTAGTTATCTGTAACTAAAAAATCCAATACTAGTTACAAATAACTAATTGAAATTTTCTTTATTTATTTTATAAATTATTCTGTTTATATATATTATTTAAATTGACACATTTCGCTTTTTTTTAAATTAATTAAGGTGAATAAAATTGCAAGAATATTGTAGTTACAATTAAAGTAATTTATTTATAAATGTGGTCTATATATAAAACTACTAAAAATAATTTAAAATAATTTTTCCTTTTTTTATATATGTAGATAGACTTACTTTAATTTATTGTTTGTTTTACTTTATTACTTACAGTTCAATAGAATAAGCATATTTTAAAATTTTTGTGATTTGTTATACAAATGAAATCAGTAATCATGACATTAATGTTAATTTCCTTAGAATTTGATCATGAAATTTGTTTACGTTTTTTTCCTTATATTAAAATGCAAATAATATTTTATGCAACAGAATTTCTAATTGCAACAGAACTGTTAAAATTAATAATTATGAAAATTGAAACTTTGATCTATAAATGAGTTTCAATTGTAAACGTACATGTGTACGTACATACATATATGTAATAACATGTGTTTGTACATTTTAAAATAATTATGATTGATTTTAATTGAAAATTCAAACAAGAAAATTTTTTTCTTTATAATTGATTAAAATAATTTTATCAATATTATATACGTATTGAAATTATTATACAAATATACTTATGTATGTACATGCATACATATACATACTTATTCTTATATTAAATATATTTCACATAATTATAAAAGGTTATGTAAACAAATCAATAAAGTTACAATAATGTACGCAAATAATCAATGCAACAATTTTTTATTAAAAAAATATTGATAAGAACGTGGAAAATAATTGTACTAAAATGCAAATTTATTTAGTACTAGTAATGTCAATTGTCAATCATATATTGCAGAGCAAATTTCATGAACGCTCTTTTTTACTGGTATAATTTATTTTTTATCAAAATAAATAAATTTAGTTTGATCAAAATAAATAAATTTAGTTTGATCAAAATAAATAAATTAAGGGACGGAAAAATTGCCTCTTTATTTATTACGATAGTGTTCTCTTACATTATATAATACGGTCTGTCTTTAGTAGAAATGTAATTGTAAATATTTGATTTTTGACAAAAATGTCACTTAATTCGATAATTTGTTCACCAAATTCTATTAAGTATAAACAAAATTTTGGCTATTAGTATAAATTGATACAAAAATTATTGTGAACTAAGTAATAATGTAATTTGTTGTGAATAATTTTAAAAACTTATTCTTTATTGACGTTTTTTTTTCAGGTTAAACTCGTGTTGACATACACAAATGTTTGATTTGATCATAAATTTAAAAACATTAAATTTTATTTTAAAACTTATTAACATTGCAATTCTGAATTTAATTTTACTGAATAATTTATTAGGTCTATTAACAAATTAAATAAAATTCATTAACACTGGATTTTATTTGTTATTTGTGTTTTTGGTTTTAATTTATTTTGTTACTACATATTAGATAAATGTATTTAATGTCAATTTTTTTTTTTTTGATTTAAATAATATTTTTTTTTTAATTTAAATTTGAAAATGTAATTTATGTTTTCCTTTTTATAATAAATTTTAGATGATGAAGAAATACACAGATAATAATGTGGAAAAATTTTATTTCCATATTGTTGATTATTGCGTTTTTGCGGCAATGCTAATTTTGTCAGCTGTAACTGGTGTTTACTTTGGCTATTACAGGTAAAATTTGTTTTTTTTTTTTTTCAATTGTTGATTTTTTAAATCTTACTCTTTCGCTTTAATTTTTCCTTTGTAAAATTGCCAATTATAATTAATTTTTTATTTTTTCTTTTTTTTAATGTTGTTATAAAAGAAAAAAAAACTTCAAGGAAAATATTCAACAGGTGGAAGTACCGAAGAAAACAAAACAAAAACAAGATTTTGGATCGGAATCACTAAATGAATATTTGTTAGGTTCAAGAAAACTGAAAGTATTTCCAGTTGCAATGAGTTTAGTGGCAAGGTAATAATGATTGTTTTCTTGTTTTTATATAGAGTAAAATAAAAAATATAAGCATAAATATTTTAGGGAATTTAATTTCTCATAATTGTTTGTAAGAATTTAATGAGTCTAGGAGTTCCAGGGAAAAGTGCGTGTAGAAAACGGTTTAAAATAAAAAAGAATATAGTATGACTGTCTATAAATTGAAGTCTAAATTTGCATAGAAAAAATTTGTTCTTTGTTCCGTTTAAAATTGGACAATGCGAAATTTTATATCGATATTAAATTGAAAAACTAATTAACCCAGAAATTTATTATTTACAGTGTTAACAAAAACACACATTTATATGTAATTTTAAAAATATTTAGACCAGTCAAGCATTATGTTTGAATGTTCCACAGTATAGTATCAAAGAGAACTTCTAAACTGTAATGTAAGAGTTTCTGGACTATTTTGATTTGCTACAATTTTCATGGCATAGAGTTTATACAATTGTTTTTTATGAATTCCAATGCCAAGAAATTTTCGAGTCAAGTATGTAGCACATTATGATAAATTAGTCTGCCAAGTATGTAGCACATTATGACAAATAAATTTTGAAACTTCATTAAATGCAACCACTAACTTCATTTATTGGACGATCTTCATTTGCGATTCAAATAATTTCTTTGTTTCCAAAAAAACTATTTTTTAATTTTGAGTTTTTAAATATGTTAATAATGTTCTGGATTTTATATGTGTTGTGTGAATTTTTATATACATATGTATGTAAATAAATTAACAAAAAATGCGAAATGGCGGTTGAAAATTATGCGACCAAACATTTGACTGTTAAAAATCTTCTGGAAATATTAAGAAGATTTTGTTTTTGATTTTAACAATATTAGTCTTACTTTAATTAATATCCTTTTTCAAATTTAATATATTTTTAGTTATATTTCTGGTGTAACTGTTTTAGGGACACCAGCGGAAATTTATAATTTTGGAACACAGTATTGGATGATAATAATACCGATTGTATTTATGGGACTGGCTGTATCTCGGGTATATTTACCAGTATTTTCAACTCTTGGTCTTGGATCGTCATACCAGGTTAGTTTTTTTTTTCTTTTTTTTTTTGGCGAAATCAGGATATTTTTTATCCTGTCCAGTATTTAAATTTAAGTCTATAATAATAAAATAAAAAGCGTTGGGTATATACGGTAGGGCTCATTCTGAGAATAATAAAAATGACTTGAGTCACTTAATAAAGCTTTAAAATTTTTACGATAAATAATACAATTATTTGGTGTTTAGATTATCAAAATAACCCCCAGTATTTCTTTTTGAATGGCTTGTACTAGTTTTATTTCCAAAATCTGCCACAATATACATACATAATTATGTTACAAATATAAGTATACCTCTACTCATAAAATTTTTATTATTTTGATTTGAACTCATTTTAAATTTTTTTCAAACTAGTATATTAAAGTTGCCAGACATTATTGTCTTTAAAAATTTTATTTTGTGTTTGTTTACGATAATCTTTTTGTGTTTTATTCTTAAATTATTTTTTATTTTGGGTCTTCTTCAGTCTGTAAGATAGGCGACTGAAATTTTATATATAAATTGATTTTTACTAGAAACCCTTTTGTTTCCATTGAAGAAAATTTTTACGTATCTTCCCCCTCTGAAATTTATAGTCACCTTCAATGTCTTAAAAATGTAATTTTTTGATTATTTACTGTAACGAAACCACAAATACTTTTTACTGTTAAATTTTGCAAACGCAGAAAACTGGTGACTGGCGTGTTCCATCCCGGCGTAGTATAATTGAGCATGGTCAGCTACTTTTATCGGCCAGGTTTAAAAAATTCAAACCCAGTTTTTAAAATAATTTATAATAAGAATAATAAATCTTACTATCATATTTCTATTGTACCGTTAAAAAATTTTTATATAATGGCTACTTAATACCATATAATAAAAATGTGGACTGTGAACTTTGAAATTAGCATTTTATCATTTGAGTGTCAATTATTAAATAAAAAATTTTTTTAATGTACATATAAATATACATATATGCATACATATACGTACGTATATTAATAATGCTTTCTTTGCCTATTCTAATCAAACAATATTTATGCAAATAATACATACATACATAATTTCTTTATGTACACGTATGTTTAAATGTATATGAATGACATTTTAAAATGAATAAATGCCTACATAAATAAAATGTGTGTACACAACTAATAAAAATCATTTTTATGAAGTTCAAACAAATTTAAAATAGTTAAATTTAATTATTTAAGAATTAAATGCGAATTTATTCTATTTTACAATTCATTTATATTCATTTAATATAAATGCATATGTATATGTATACTCGTATTGTGGTATGAGTGGACCATTTAAAAACATTAAAAATCATATGTATTATATTATTATAATATTTATTTCAACGTTAATACAAATAATATTTAATTTTCATTAAATGCAAATTATTAAAATTCAAAAATTAAAATTATTACACATGTACCTGAACTGCCAATTTAATTTTCAATCAAAATAATAGTTAATTATATTATAGTTCTGAACTAGAGGCTCAAATGCCTCCTTCTCCTCCTAGAATTTTTCCTATATGGAATATGCATATATATACATATTATAATAAATTTCAATGACTGTCGAGATAGCTTTTGTAGAAAAATACAAATTTTTTCAGTTTTGGATTTGACGAATTCATTCGTTGACACCGTCAAGCACTGAAAACAGGAGAAAATGATACTTCAAAGTAATTTTTTTCCTAAATACTCGTAATATCCAAATTCTCCGAAATCTTTAATAATTGTAGTAATCTGAATTTTTTTAATGTTCACCCTCTTAACGATTGAGTTGAAATACTAAAGATCAAATAATGTGTAAAAAAAATATTATATTCTGTGCAAATTATTTCTAGTTTGTATACTCAATAATTAATGGCCCACCCTGTTTTATATGCGATATTAGTTAAGGTTTGTTACTCGTACAGTCTTATAAAAATTTTATTAACAAAATAATAAATAAATAATTAAATATGTACAATATAAATAAATATATATGTATATATACATGTACATGAAAAATTTTTCTAGCCAAATGACTTTCTATATTTGTTTTAATAAAAAATAAAAGTAGAATTTCAGCATGTCTTTAATATTATTATTAAATTAATTATGAAAAAGCTTGGTTACAAAGTCCACTTGAATTTTTTTCTTTTGAAATAAGAAATTTTTGTTTTTTGTTGATTAGTGATGAGTAAATAGAATAAAATTATAAATTAAAAGTAAGCGTGAATAAATACTTAGATATGTACATATGTATATTGTACAAATAACTGGTTTTTTAATTAAGAATATTTTTTAACACCTTTTACGATATTCTGTCGATATGAGTGCATGTATGTATGTATGTGCATATAGAGAAATTAATTTTATTACAATAAAGCTAGTTCGAGTAGATTTTGTTAATCATGCTTGCTTAGAATTAAATTATTATTATTATGAATGCATGTAGTTTTATAGCAACACCATTTCCAATAAACCCTTTTCTTTGTAGCAATTTCAAATGCATTCCTAGATTGTATGATCTATTATTGTTATGAAAATTTACATATCACATATTGGGAAGAATAAGGACACAACTAAAAAATATAACTTTGTCTTCCGGGTTTTAAAGCATTTTGTAGCCAAGTGTAAATTACTATCGAAGGCTAAAAAGCATATTGGTATATAACTATTCTACAAGTATATGAACAAATTTTCGGTATTATTTTGTTACAGAAAAGTTTTATGTATTAAAATTTAATAGTAATAAAAGCAATTTTGCAACTCTGTAGTTTGCCTTATGTCACTGTTCTCGTAAATGTGCGATATATACATATGATGGTTTAATTATAATAAAAGAAGAAGTTTCGGCAATTTAATTGCAAAAAAAATTTTCTGTAAATTATTCTGGACAACATATTATGGAGTTGCATATTCTTATATGTTAGTTTGCATAATATTTGGAGGAATACCTTATTCAAAATTTTATTGATTTTTCAAATGTACTATATTTTAAAATGTATATGTTACTAATAAATTTTTATTTTATTTATGATACAAGTTGACTCAAGTTTAATAAAATTAATAATTTTTATATAATGTTATATTTCTGAGTATATATATATATATTAAGTAAATCTTCGTCTTTGTATATCGTTACAGTATTTAGAAATGCGTTTTAGTTCAGCTGTTCGATCTATTGCTTCAGTAATGTTTGTAATAGATGAGGTGAGTAAATAAATAAATCAAATATTTTAATTTTATTTTAGTGGTTCATTTGTCATTATAAAAATATTATGAATTGGTTGTTTATTTGTAAAAATAGAATTCTAAATTCGGAAGTTATTGTGTAATCTTCAAATGTGCTTAGAGTATTCAGTGAATTTTTATAGCTTGTATTTATTGTATTCGTTAAAGTATACAATTTAATTAAAAAACCAATTTTATTAACATAAAATTGTTACAGGAAAATCCTTTATAATAATTTTATAGTTATATTTTAATAATATTGCATGATAACAATTAATTAATTTAATTTGATATTAAGCATCACCAATATAATTAAAATTCTGTAAATTATAGACAGCTAGATATAGAAACTATATTGCAAGGTGATATTTGTTTAACACAAATCATGTTCGATTCAACACAATATTCTTTTCTTTAGTTAGCATTTTTGTAATTTAGACATTTGTCGTATTTTTAATAAAAATTAATTATTAAAAATTAAGTAAAAATTCTTAATTATTTGAAATCGGAAATATTAATTGTTCATATTTATGCAAGAGCCAAAAACAAAAAGTGACTTCTTTGAAAGGCCAAAATTTTTACAAAATTTATAATGATAGATTTCTACTCTTCATATAGGTTCTGCCTAGTATGGAAGTTAACGTGAAAAATTAGATACAAACTAGATATGAAAATATATTTGCATTAATTATCATGAAAATCATAGATTTTTTCTTATTAATTCTTTTTTATTGTATATTTTCAGGTTTTCTTCTTGCCAATGATTGTTTATGTACCCTCGTTAGCTTTCAATCAAGGTGAATATAGAGTTTAATGTTATATTACATTTCACTAAAATGTTTGAAAGAATTTTTTTATGAATGGAATTTGAATATTTAGTATTTTGAATTTTTTAAAATATATTTAGTACTGGGGTTAAATTATTCAAAATTTAATCAGAATTTTTGTAATTTTTTAATTAATTTTCTATAATTTCCATAATATTGTGACGGAACACCTTTGAAAAAGTAGAAAATATTTTAATTTTTAAGTTTTACAATTTAACAATTTTCACTTAAATGTAAAGTTCTAGAATTTAATAAAAATATTTTTAAAGAACTCTGGAGATAAATTAATTTTTTCAATTTAGAGCTTTCATTTATTTTGAGGCGTCTTAATACTTTTATAAGTGTTTTCCTTAATTTTTACGTTAATTAGTATTAAAATATTGCTTAAATATTACTTTTCAGTAACTGGTACAAGCATCTATATTATTGGGGCTATAGTGTGTGTAATTTGCGTATTTTATACTCTCGTTGTAAGTATATCAAACTTTGAAATATGTAGATTTTCAAGAATATTTTTGTATTTATATTTTTTTTATATTTTTAGGGGGGAATTAAAGCTGTTGTTGTGACAGATGCTTGGCAAGTAGCTGTAATGTTTATTTCGGTAGTTGTAGTTTGTATACTTGGTTTAATTGCGATTGGCGGTCCTGTTGAAGTTATAAATCGAGCAAATGATGGTGGAAGATTAATTTTTTTTAAGTAATAAAATATAAAATTCAAATTAAAGTAATTAAAAGTAGTTAAATAAATTTTTAATATTTAACAATAGTGTGTCCCCATCTTTTTATGAAAGACATTCTTTTTGGAGTGTTTTAATTGGAGGTTTCTTTTACTGGACTTCATACAATTCGGTACATCAAACTATGGTACAACGTTATATGTCACTGCCAAATATAAAAAAAGCACAATGGTCAATATGTTGGTTTACAATCGGAATTATATTGTTTGTGTCTATATGCTGTTTTGCTGGTCTCTTAATTTATGCTGCATATTGGAAATGCGATCCATTAACAGCTGGTTTAATAAGGGTATTTATTAATGCACAAATTTTAAAAATGCTTTTTTTTTTTTTTGTATTTCTAATAAAATAATTTTTTTTTTCTGATTTTAGAACAACGATCAATTATTTCCAGTTTATGTAATGCAAACAGTTGGTAATCTTCGTGGTGTACCTGGTTTATTTATTGCTGGTGTATTTGGTGCAGCTTTAAGTTCTTTATCAGTTGTATTAAATTCAACATCAGCTGTTATTTTAGAAGACATTGCTAAAGGTTGTTTTAAATTGAAATTAAGTGATAGGGCATCAACAATATTAGTGAAATCATCTGTATTAGTATTAGGTGTCGTATCATTTTCTTTAATGTTTTTAGTTGAAAGATTAGGTGGTATATTAAGTTTAGCAACATCATTATCAGCTATAGCAGCTGGTACAACATTTGGTATGTTTACATTGGGAATGTTAATACCATGGAGTAATACAAAAGGTGTAATAGCCGGAGCTATATGTGGTGCAATAATGTCCGGTTGGGTATCATTTGGTATACAAGTAGCAGAAGCTAATGGTTTAGTTGTACCGCATAAATTACCAGTATCAATAGAAGGCTGTATGAATAATAGTTCATTAATATTAAGTGAAATTAATTATCCTGATGAATCTAATGTATTTCCTTTATATCGATTTTCATTCGATTGGATTAGCCCAATTGGTATATTTACTACAGTTATAGTTGGAACTATTGTTTCATTTTTAACTGGTCCAACTGATTTAAAAACAATTGATCCTGATTTAATATCTCCAGTTATTCATAGGTAATTTGTAGTTTTTTTCTAGATTTAATATTTGAAGGAAAATATATTATTATGTAATGTACTTAATTTAATTTTTTATTGGTTTTAGATTTCTTCCAAAGGAATGTTTTTTAACTTCAACTGAAGAAAGTTCTAACTTGCCGATGACAACGCATAGAGAAGCCACTGTAGCATCTTTAACTACATATTTACTACCAGAAATAAATGGATCTACAAATGGTGTAGTAACTACTGTAAAAATGGAGGTAAAAAGCTTAATTAAGTCGTCTTAAACTCATTTATGGATTCCATAATAAATTATAAAAATTCGTTGACCCTATTCTTGTTGTTATTTTGGAACAATTACGCATCATGTTTGACACTTCACTTTTATGTACTTTAATTTTATTACAATAGTTTTGGGCATAGCATGCAATAGTATTTTAGTGTTATTATTATGTGAAATATTCATTTCAGTTCGAGGACACTTAGGTATTATGTATAAATTATATATATATATATACCCATTATTATTAAAAATTTTAGCTACTTTAGCAACATTTATCATCATGGTGGCTCTTGTTATAAAATTTTTCAAAAAGCCGGCGACAAGCCACAAAAAATAAAAAACTGCGGCTTATAAAAATATATCCGCGGCTAGTAATATAAAAGCTGTTGTATAATTTTTAGCAAAGATCTGAATCTTTTTTCATATTATATGGTTTGCGATCATGATTATAAAATATTTTATACAAAATTTTTGTATACTTTTCATGGAAAAGCTCTTTTAGTCCTTGTTTCATAATTTTTTATTTTTGTTGAAATTAGTTACAAAATCAGATATTTTAAGCTTTGTAACATTAGGAGCTGTAATTGTATTTTTATCTTTAACGTTTTTCAATGTTATTCTTAAATGCATTGTCCGTTCTGATGCGTTATTCTATTTCGAATAAAATGAGAAATGAGTGCCTTTTTAAGAAAATACCTTTAAATAATTACTTTTTCATGCAACACTTAAAAATTATATGTAATGTATTTGTTTTTTTGTATATTTCCAGACTAAAACTGAAACGTGATATTAATTTACCTAAAAATCAAAAACCCATCGACAAATTTTAATCAAACAAAAAATAAATAAAAAAAAAAACAAAATGTATTTGTAATTAATAAATAAGTAGTTTTAAAAGCGTAATTAATTATATGAGAAATATTTTTAGTTGAGTATCACAAAAGCTTTACTTATTTAATTTGAATATTTTTCTTAAGTACTTAAAAATAAAACAAATTAATTAATAAATTAGTTTTTATTATAAAAGAAAATAATAGAATAAAAAGTGAGTGATATTCGGGATTCCCAACAAATAGTACAATAAAAATGTTGTTGAATACAAAAACAAAAAAAAACAATGAAAATCAAAGAATGTAGAAAAACAAAAAACAAATTAATAAATGAAAATAAATAAAATAAATGTAAAAAAAAACAAATAACATAAATGTTTTTATGCTATGTAAGTAAGATAAACATTTACATATACTTATATAAACATTTAAATGTCACGATATTTCAAAATAATTTAGAATGTTACATTAAGACTTTGTAGAGAAGTAAGAAATTCATGGAAATAAATTCTTTGAAAATAAGCACAGATTGTATAGTTGAATAACATTAAAAATAATTATTATTGGAACTTACTGGTAAATTCATTTTACGTGGGGTAGTACAAAAATATCAAAACTATATTTTATTGAATGGAGAATCCTTGAACACAAATTTCAAACTTTGGAAATAAAAAAAAAGTCTATAATGACCATATGTAACGTATGTATTTTTATAATATCGTGATAAAAATATTTCTTATATTCTAGAAAATAAAAGTCTTTTACAAGAATTTGTAGTTTAACATTATGTAAGAGTCTTAGTTATTAAGAATTTATTTTATATTTGTAATGTTATAAATTATAGTAGAACAGTTTATACCTTAATTAAAATGTTGGAAATTGTTTTTATTTTTTGTGTAATTTTCTTTTATATATATATATATATATTTTTTGTTTTGAATATATATGACCATCATTCTGTGATAAAATTATATACTTAAACATATGTATGTAAATATGGGTACTTTAAAAAAAAAAAAAAAAACAAAATCAAAATTTATTCGAGCAGATGAATAATCATTTTTTTTTTTTTTTATAAAAAATTAATAAATATTTTTTCTTTTTGATATAAAATGATGACTTAAAAAAAAAATTAAATGAAAAAAATCGGTAATTATAAATATATTATATAAATATAAAAAAAAATTGTGTAATAATGTAATTTACCTTCTCTTTGTAAATATGAAACAAAAGTTTTTAATAATAAATATTGTAAAATTGTAAAATTTTTGATTATTTTTATGAATAATAAAATTTTTGTAGAATAATTTTAATCGTATTATAAATACATTATACTGAAAATAATATGTGTAGCAATTATAATTGTAATAGGACTTTAAACTAATGACGATTTAAGAGGTAGAGTTAGGCCATAACAATATTTATCACTAGCAAAATATACTGCCTTTATAAAAGAACCGAGTAAATTATCTTAAAAAAATGATGTACACACAACAAAAACAAATATACATATATCATTTCTGAAAAATATTTATTGCCGACACTTAGAATCTACTTAGAATCTACCTTTAGCCATTAGAAGGATATTATTTTTTAATAAAATCAATCTCTTGTCATTAGTAGCAAATAAACTGACAATCAGTTAGTTGTTAGTTGGAATTAAACTGACAACAAGAGTTTTAGAAGAAAGAAACTGACTAATAGTTAGGCATTAATATAGAAAATTAAATTGACCGCCGGTGTTTTATTACAAGAATATAAGTAATAATCTGACAACTATAGTTACGCATTAGTTAGAAATCAGCTAACGAAAAGTACGCACAACAGGTTTGTATAATTGGAATCCTCATATAAGTCAATGAAGATTGGCTATATGAGGATTCTATATTTTTAAAATTTCACTATTTTTTATTCAAGGACATAAATATAATTGCTATATAAGATTTACTCGTAATCTATGAACATTTGAACAAAAAATCATTAAAATCTAAAGAAATATATCGTAAATATTAATTATTGGTTTCGTCAATAATATTAATTTTTCGTAATTCTCTGCTTTTCATACAACGTTATTTATAAGTAAATTGAAAATATTTGAATTAATTTGATTAATTTTATTTATTATGTCGATTTTTTTTCCAACGTTTATTTGTGTATATTCATTCCTATTTTCAAACTCGGCTATTTTTGATATTTGAGCTATGGTATTCAGAAAGTTATGAGGCGACAAATTAAATTTATAATTATTTCAATAAATATGAAAAATATTTAAAATAAAAATATTTTTTTCGGTTTTCGGTTAATTTGTCACTTAACATTAAATCCAATTAGAATCCTTTAGCCATTAGAAAGATATTATTTTTTAATAAAATCAATCTCTTGTCATTAGTAGCAAATAAACTGACAATCAGTTAGTTGTTAGTTGGAATTAAACTGACAATAAGAGTTTTAGAAGAAAGAAACTGACTAATAGTTAGGCATTAATATAGAAAATTAAATTCCGGTGTTTATTACACCGCCGGTGTTTTATTACAAGAATATAAGTAATAATCTGACAACTATAGTTACGCATTAGTTAGAAATCAGCTAACGAAAAGTACGCACAACAGGTTTGTATAATTGGAATTCTCATATAAGTCAATGAAGATTGGCTATATGAGGATTCTATATTTTTAAAATTTCACTATTTTTTATTCAAGGACATAAATATAATTGCTATATAAGATTTACTCGTAATCTATGAACATTTGAACAAAAAATCATTAAAATCTAAAGAAATATGTATATCGTAAATATTAATTATTGGTTTCGTCAATAATATTAATTTTTCGTAATTCTCTGCTTTTCATACAACGTTATTTATAAGTAAATTGAAAATATTTGAATTAATTTGATTAATTTTATTTATTATGTCGATTTTTTTTTCCAACGTTTATTTGTGTATATTCATTCCTATAGACCCATACTCTAATTCAGTAAAACCGAAATGGTTGAATATTAAAACTCGGCTATTTTTGATCATTGAGCTATGGTATTCAGAAAGTTATGAGGCGACAAATTAAATTTATAATTATTTCAATAAATATGAAAAATATTTAAAATAAAAATATTTTTTTCGGTTTAAAAATATTTTCTAAAACATACTTTAATTTATTAAAATTTTTTGATCTTTTTCTTGATTGTTATATTTTCTATGGGTAAGTTTCAAAATATTTTTTAATAAAATGATTCTTTCAATAAAATTCTTGTATAAGAATTTTAAGTAAAAATTTTAAGAGAATCCATTGAATATTTCTTAAAAATTGATTTAGCTGAATTTGAGAAATACGGGAGTGTAGAAACAAAAAACTGAAATCTTAATAAAATTAATTTTGTGTATATTAAATATTGTACTTTTACAATTAAATGTGAACATTTCTTTAAAACAGGGAAGTGATAATTTACTATGTGGAATATTATGAATGATCACTATAACGCCAATTGTATGCAATTCGTTTGTTGGAACGGAAAGTGGGAAACTCGCTTTTTCTCAATTTAGATATAAACAGAAGCTCATAATTGAAAAACAATTGGCTTGCAAATATATAAGACAAAGAATTTTAATTATATTTTAATTAAAAAATAACAAAATTTAATTAAAAATAAAAATTTAAAAATTAAATAATACGAATATTTGGTTTTAGAAAGAGTTTATAAATGAAATAAAGAAATTAAAATAAATTTTGTTTATTAAAAATTTTGTATAGAGGCGATTTTCTATTTAAACGAAATTCAAAAAATTAAACAAAAAATTTTGAAAATTAAATGAATAGAAAATGGTTTTATTTGTATATTTTCTTTTATTTTATTTTTTTTGCAATAATTTTTCAAAAAGAGTTAAAATTATGTTTGCACTCTTTTGAGCATACAAAGCTGATTAAATAAAATTAAGCTATTCAAAAAAGGGTTCGAATAGCAAATTTTCATTTCATATGTATAATGTGTATGTGCGTATATATATATATATACTTATAATTTCTATAATATTTAATTTATGTACATGTTTTATGCATTTGTATAAAATCTCATTATAATATTTGCTTTTTAGAGGTGGAAACTTTATTTATTTTTTTTCTTCTTCTTATATGCAATATCTAAATAAGAACCTGATTTTCTCTTTATATTGCTACTTTTTTTTTATCTTATTTTTTTTTTCTCCATTTTATATATGTATTTGTTTGAGTTCAGAATTAAATATAAACAGACAAAAAATATATAGAGAAGAAAAAGTGAATATGAAAATACAAGGAAAAAAAAAAATATATAAAAACCTCTTGAAAATCCTCAAAGCACTAAAAAGGACTCTTTCAAATGAATTTTTGGCATACATATTAGTTGAAGAATGTAGGAAAAAAAAATAAAGCAGTGTAAATAGTAAAAGAAAAAAAAAACATGTAAGTAAAAAATTTGTTTAAAAAAAAACCTTTATACTTCATTTAAAAATTTATTTTTTTTTTTTTTATTTCTAAAGAATAAAAAATTAGATTAAAATTGTAATACTAAAATTAATTTACTCTAAAAAAAAAATACAGTAGAATATGTGTATCCCGAACTCACCGTCCTAACTATGCAATTCCGAATCTGTAGTGCTGTTCCTGTACTGTAAATTCAAATCAAATCGAAAAAGAAATTCAAAATTTCAAATTAATTTCATGTAAAATTATTATGCAATATAACAAATCGACTTTAATTTGACAGATCGTCGCAAATTTGACAAATTAAATGTATGACAGATGACAGATGTATATGTATAAATGTATTCGTAAATATGAAATTTATAAAATTTTGTAATTTAATTCACTTATTAAATTTAATTTTGAATTTGTAGCGTTTTTTTTTTTTGAGAATTGGAACAAGCAGTTTAAAGTAACAAATAATAAAATTAATTTTCATTTAACAAATAATAAGACTCAAATATTCAAGTTATAAAAGAGAAATTAATAAAATAATTATAATTTTATAATATATTGAAAAAATTTCTTTCAAATTAAAAAAAAATTCTAAAACATCTCACAAGAAGAGCGTTCAAGGATTGAAGAAAAATAGTATTAGTGAGGCATGCTTTCGAAACGTTTATGGTAAGTGAATGGAGTATTTAAAAACTTACATGTATATTTTTTATAAAATTATTAGTATTTGGCAACCCTATGTTTAATAATTTACTATATTTTAAATGTTGTTGAAATAATTTTTTTTTTTTAAACATGAATCAATTTATTTTTTTTTTTTCTTCAAAATATCCTTTGAGCTAATGATGTGGTTAGACTGTTAACTTTTTAATATAATAAAACTATTATACTTTTATACATATAATTTATACACGTTATAATATAGGTTAACTTAAATCGGGGTGAAATTATGAATTAAAAGTTCTTTTCCCTTTTGTTTTAATAAGAGCGAATTTAACGAGTTGACAGATTCACTATAGATAATAAGTCTATAAATCTCACATATTTGCTAATTTTAAGTTTTAAGTAACAACTTGTATCGTAATTGAGTATTTCGATCGACTAAATAATTAATTTTTAGCCACTGAATTTGTGCTGGTGAAATTTATGAATTCTATATATAATTTCTGAAACTTTTTATGCGAGTAGTAGCTCTATAACCAAATCTGTATATATATTATAGATTTTATTATATATAGTTTTCGTTATACGACAAAACTCAAGAATTTGTGTTTGGTTAATCTTATTATGATAAATTTGGTTATTCTTATTATGAACGGGCGAACGGACGACTAAGTTACAGGGATCTAAAAATACAAACTTAATTAATAAAGACTGGCTAAATGACTTGAGAATCCAGTCTTCGTCGCAGCAGTGTATTTCTTAGCGTTGCAAAGGGATGCATACTTATAATCTTGCATATTTTTAGGGGAAAATTTTATTTTAGATTTTATAAAAACCAAGTAAGGAACTAAGAGAAGAAGCCGTAATATTTTGATTTAGTGTACCAAAATAGAAAATGTAGAAATATTTTACCCTTTTTAACCGTATAACATTTAAAAACCATAATTTTTTCTACATAATTTATTTGAAATTAACTTATATTTTCTGTATATGAAAATATATTTTGTATGTTTATATAAGTGCTTACTGATGAATTGACCCTTACCAGAATAAATTTCTTTTTTTTTTTTATTCTATGTAATTTTTCTAGTTTTCTCTTTAAGGTTGTGCTTTTAATAAAAAAATAACCGTTTATAAA